CTTTATACACCACATAAATTATCTACACATTAGATAAATAAATCATACATAATGAGATAATTGACATTTCACAGACCTGCATGCATTCACAATACTTGTTTGAGCAACTTCATTTTTTAAAATTGTATCCTCTTTTATGCTTGGATCTGAATCTTATTTTCACCCTGCACAATCAAATACAAAACATTAAGAGAAGGTAAAAATGCTTGGAAGGACCAAATTTACAAATGTTGAAAAAATCAGCAACAACCTTCCTCATGGTTAAGTTGGTAGAAGAAAGAAGTGACACACGAGTAGAATAAGACTAATGAGTTCAGTGGTAAACTTTGATGCTACTCTATGCCAATTGCGTAATAGGTTTTAATTTGGCAAATAAAGTCCAACCTCACAATCAGCATTGAAGTCTGTGGCCTGGGTTGGGCTACCAAGCCATGATGCCAGCCTTTAATTTTCGAATCTAGGTTTTAATTTGGCAAATAAAGTCCAACCTCACAATCTTTCTGCTCATTATCATCAACCTACTGCTCACTGTCATCATCTTGCTGCTCATTATCATCAACCTGCTGCTCACCGTCATCATCCTGCTGCTCACCGTCATCATCCTGATGCAGTTGAGTAGGAATCTAGAATTGTAGTAGAGCATTTGAATGGAGAAATTATTAGTATAACATTTTAAAACTCGAAATTACATATACTGAAAGGGAAAATAAATTATCAACTTAATTTGCTTTTGAATTGTAGGTAACAATGGTAATAGATAATAAATTTGGTTTTAGTTGCTAAGTACTATATATAAATAAATAGAAAAAATAAAAAAGATTTAGCAGTGGTACCTAAAAAATTGAAAGAAGGTAAATGCATAACTGAAATCAATCAGGAAGAAGAGGGAATTAAAGAAAAAAGAGTTACTATTATTATATATAGTTAAAGGCTAAAGATACCTCAATGGGATCTCCTTCGAGTTGGATCATTTCGTCGTTTATGTAGATCTTTGGAATGCGAGAGATGTAGTCCCACTCGGAACCACTTCCACTGGCGCATCTTTCCTTTAACTCAGGGCATCCATAAATAAGAAGGCTTTCTAATTTGGAGAGGCGTTGGATGGCTTTCATATGTTTCAGAGATTTGCAGTTGGAAATCTCCAGGGTTTTAAGAGAGGATAAGTTTCCAAACCAATTTGGCAAAGCTTCCAGTCCATCAAAATCCCTTATTCCGAGAGACTTAAGGGCAGTTAGGGGTCGAATTTGATCCAGCAGACGTTCTCTTGGTTCTCCCCATGCAATCAAAGTCAATTCTTCAAGATGAGATCCGATGAAGCCCAGATCTGGAAATTCCTTGAGCTCTTTTGAGAAACCACCAATAGTCAGCTTCTTCAGGCAAGCAAGGCAGGCAGGGTTAGGGGTGCTCCAGCTACTCCTCAAATCATCTGGAATAGAGATTAGATTATCACAGTTGGAGATATCCAATTTCTCAAGAGCAGTGCATGATGGCAACCCACTTGGCAAACTTCTTAATCCACCACAACCCCATATCAATAAAGTCTGAAGAGATGAAAGCCCATGGAGGTTCGGAAAGGACATCAAACCATCGCAGCCCTTTACAGTCAACTCTTTGAGACACATGACAGTAGATAAATCCTCTCCTATGCTTTTCAATTGCTCACACCAGCTTATTTCAATTATTTGAAGAGAGGACAGCCCATGGAGGTTCGGAAAGCACATCAAACCATGGCACGCATCTATAATCAACACTTCAAGACACGTGACAGTAGATAAATCCTCTCCTATGCTTTTTAATTGCTCACACCAGCTTATTTCAATTTTTTGAAGAGAGGACAGCCCATGGAGGTTCGGAAAGGACATCAAACCATCGCACTCATGTATAATCAACTCTTTAAGACATGTGGCAGTAGATAAATCCTCTCCTATGCTTTTCAATTGCTCACACCACCTTATTTCAATTCTTTGAAGAGAGGACAGCCCATGGAGGTTCGGAAAAGACATCAAACCATCGCAGCTCTGTACAGTCAACTCTTTGAGACACGTGACAGTAGATAAATCCTCTCCTATGCTTTTCAATTGGCCACACCAGCTTATTTCAATTTTTTGAAGAGAGGACAGCCCATGGAGGTTCGGAAAGGACATCAAACCGTTGCACCAGCTTACAATCAACTCTTTGAGACTCGTGGCAGTAGATAAATTCTCTCCTATGCTTTTCAATTGCCCACAGTTGTCTATTTTAATTTTTTGAAGAGAGGACAACCCATGGAGGTTTGGAAAGGACATCAAACCATTGCATGAGCTTACAGTCAACTCTTTGAGACACGTGGCAGTAGATAAATCCTCTCCTATGCTTTTCAATTGCCCACACCAGTGCATTTCAATTTTTTGAAGAGAGGACAGCCCATCTACACTGGACATGGACATCAGGCTACGACATTCATGAATATTTAACTCTTGTAGACACGTGGAGGCAAATCGAGCATCGTCCCCAATCATCCTCAATTTTGAGCAATACCAAAGTCCAAGTTTCTCAAGGGATTGTAATTTACTAATCATCGGAAGATTTTCCAATTTATCACAAATCTCTATATGTACTTCTTTGAGAGACTTCATGGCATCTGGTCCAACCTCTACCTCAAACAGTTCTTCACATCCCCTAATGATGAGTTTCTGAAGGGACGAACATGCAATGCTTTTCAAATTCTTGCAATAATTAATTTCCACCTTTGCCTCCTTACTGAGTGACAATGATGGAATGCTTTCCAACCAGAGACATGCAAAAAAGGTCATGAACATCAGATTTTTGAGAAAATTTTTTTTCTCTAACATCCATGGAGGACAGCTTTTACCACAGTAGCATTTAATAATTAGGCCTTTCAAATTTGAATGAGGTTGGAGGTCTTCCAAGATGTCTTTATCTTGTGTGCATCTATCTTCACTACCACTGGAGTCCTTACTAAACACCAATTGCAACTCCTGAATTGCATCCTTTTCAGAAAGTCTTGCTCCCTTGGCTTTTTCTTTGTCTCTAACCATATCCAAATTACGAATCTCTAAATTTCCCCTGAGTTGGCTTAAACGTCCCAATTCTTCAATTTGATGTCCCTTCTGTTGGCCCACAACAAATAATTGTAATGTTTTCAAACAAGTTAATCCACCAATCCCAGCTGGCATAAGCTTTTCATCATTGAAATAAATGTGTCTCAAATTGACTAAATCCCATATTCCATTCAAAGGCCTCTTGATTTCCCCACAATTCATAAATCTAAATGTCTGCAAATGATAGAGCTTAGTGATGAATTTGGGAAGTTCTTTGATTTTAGTTTCTGAAACATCCAAAAACCTTAAATGCTTCATTTTCCCCAAAAAAGCTGGCAACTCATCAATACTGGCACCACGGAAACTGAGAACTCGCACCTTTATAAAGTTTTCAAGCTTGTTTTGAGAAACATCAACTCGTGAAAACAAGGTACGCAGTTCCCGAAGTTCCATTTTTGGCATACCCTCCTCAGAAATGAGATTCAAATGCCGAATGTCTATAGGAATATCACTACTACCATCCTCCAAATGCTGAATGTCTGCAGGAGTATCACTACTACTACTACGATCCCAAATCAACGTTTGAGACTCTGAAACAGATTGTGCTAGATCATGTATTAAATCATGCATTTTGCAAGAAATAATACTACCAGAAGAGTCATTTACTGCATCTTGAAATAACGAGTATGAGAACAAGTCATTGAAATACTTACCACCAATATCTTCCATCTCCTTGTAGCTTTTTCTAAACGGTTGAAGATATCCTGCAAGAAATAATACTACCATAAGAGTCTTTTACTGCATCTTGAAATAAGGAGTATGAGAAAAAGTCATTGAAATACTTGCCACCAATATCTTCCATCTTCTTGTAGCTTTTTCTAGACGGTTGAAGATATCCTTCACCCATCCAGAGCTGGATTAACATCTCCTTTTCCATGACAAAGTCTTTGGGGAAAATAGAGCAAAAAGCAAAACATTGTTTTAAAGCAGGTATTGGCAACCGATCAAAACTTAATTGTAATACACACAAAACTCCATCAGCCTTTTCTATTGAATCCCATACTTCCTTATCATCTCTAATTGATGTCCAATAATCTTTGTTTATATTATTACACAATGTCCCCCCTACAACATTTGCAACTAATGCCACACCTTTACATTTCTCAGCAATGTTCCTTCCAATACTCTCCAATTCCTCCAATTCCGAAGAATTAGGAAAGTTGCCAAATGCTTTAAGCCTGATAATAGACCAACAATCCTCCTTTTCTAGCTTGGCAAGACTATGCATGTTCTTGGTTCCCATTATGGAAGCTACTTTCTCATTTCTAGTTGTGACAAGAACCCTACTCCCACCCCTTTTGCCTATTCCCAACAACCAATTTCTTAAGTTATCCCATTTTGGCTTTTCTTCATTCCATACATCATCTAGAATGAGGAGATAGTTTTTCTCCTCAATCTCTTCAAAAGAGTTTTTCTCCACAAACATTTCTTTGAGTTTCTGAACTACAGCTGCTTCATTTTCAAAATCCACATGACCATCCTCATTAGTGACGAGAGATTTCAGCATCATTGCTAATATTTTTTTCTCATCAAAATTTTCAGAAACACAAACCCACATTTTTTTGTAAAAATGTTTCTGTATCAGCTCATTGTTGTACACTAGTTTTGCCATAGTAGTTTTGCCTATGCCTCCCATACCAACTATGGATACAACAGGGAGAGGTTGACCATTACTTGAATCAATCAACGACTGAACTACTTCTAGGACTTTATTTTCTCTTCCTACAATCTTCGATGGATCATCAAGTGAGGAGTTTGTTTGTTGGATTTCTACATGTTCAGGAAGCTTGTTTGCAAGTCTATGTTGAAGCCCTAGTCCAGTGGCCCAATCATTAAGGCTAGCTAGATCTAAATTCAAATACTTAATCCTCTTAGCTATCTTAAGGCGAAAAGCTAAAGGATTAGAAAGAGTAAAGAAACAGCTGACCTTTTTCCACATTTGTTTTTGAGCCACCTTGTACCTTAGATGTTCATATGCAACCTCATCTACCACATTGTCAGCTTCATCAACTATATTTCCCAGCTCCTGAAGCCAAGGTTGCAGATCAGAGTGAACCGTCACCTTCTTCTCCTCAGCATCTTGCAGCACGCCCCTTACCATGCTCAGCACCACACGGAACTTCTTGAGCTCCTGCTTGAATCCCACTGCTAAGTTGAGTTGCTCGGTGGTAACTGAAATCACCTTGGATATTGTGACATCCACAAGAGGACCAAGAATAACGTCGGCCATATTTGCTTCAGTAGTTTGGAAGAGACAAATGTTTGAAGATTGTATAGCACAAAAGAGGAGAGAACAATGTGAAGGGGGTGGAGAATAGCTACAGGCAACATTTATACATGCAGACAATAGAAGATGAAGGTTGAACATTGGTGCTTGTCCAATGAATGAAGGAAAAGAAAGGGATGAGTGATGAGGAGGAAAAGATAAAGGATCACCCTGCATTATATCTTTCTTAAAACACAAATATTCTTCTCCTCCATTGCTGTTAGTTAATCTGT